AATGTTTTGAGAATGATGAGGGCAATGAATGTACAAATGTGCTTTACATAATTGGTGTATGTATGGATTGTGATAAGAGTTGTATGAGTCCCTAATAAAATGATTTTTTTTAAAAGAAAGAAAGACAACCGCCAGGTGCCTGTGCATCTTGTATTCAAACAGTATAAAGAATGTGTCATTGATGGTTAAACTCTTTTTGGATCTCTGCCTGTAGAGTCGAGGTTAAAAGGAAAACAGACTTCCGATTTCAAGTTCGGTCCTCTCCATCATTTCTGCTCCTTCTGAAGCACCAAGGCTTGATGGCTGGTTGCCTCCTCAGCCACCTTCCTCTGGTGCCTCCCGGCTCCCTCTGCCCCTCTTCCGCTTTCTCCCTCTGTTCTGTCACTCTGGGATTCTTCTAAGATGTGCCCACCCCCTGGCATCTTTCCTGCTGCAACTTCCACTTTGCTGCTGATCCAGAAATGCGCAGTCCTGGGCCTGGTCCAAAGCTCCCAACTCACATGTCTATTTCTGCCCATTGGGCCCTGAAGATCCTACAGGGAGCTCCCCCTCAGTATTGTTTAATCAAGATCTTCAGCCCCCTGAGTCCAACAAGGGCTGTCTTCCCCTCACACCCCCTGTCTCTTCTGCCCAGTGACCCCAGTTCTCATCCCATGCCCTCCCCTCCCCTCTCCTCCCCAATCACAGGCTTCCCTGCTCTACCTCACGACAGTGACTGGTCCCCCAGAGGTGTGGAAAGCATTGAAGAGCTTGGGCTCAACTGTTCCTGGGGGCCACCCCAGAGCCTCGAACACAGGAGGTCCTGGGTCAACTTTTCTCTGACTCATCAAAGATTTGTGTGCAGCTGTCCTGTGACAAATACAATGATGGGTGTGTTGAAGAAGAGAGAAGAGTTCTAGGAGATCCAGGGGCTATCTCTAGGAAGCACTTATCAGTGTGACCACAGCATAACTATAGTGTGATAGTTGCACAACTTAACCAAGCACCTCTTTTCTTGTTAAATAGGGGGGAAAACGGTGTGTTCAGTTGGCAACCACTACCCCCTCCCCCGCCACCAGTGCCCTGGGCTGGGATGCCCACACACAGCTTTACCACGACTGCCCCAGCCAAGCTTCCACCCGCTTATCAGCCGGCTGTAGCACCTGTGCCTAACTGGGCCGATGATTGCAAACTTGCCAAATGCTGCTTTCTGTCCGGAGCTGCAGTTGTAGGAGTCTAAGAAGCTGGGATTTGTATTTTTTTGTGTGTGTTTCCTTTAATTGGTGGATCAATGAACTGCTGCATGCCCACCCTGTCTCATTCCACAGGGCAGCCGGGGCAGCTTAGAGGAGGTGTGCATAGCTTACATAATGGATGGCTAGGAGAGTCTAACTGAGACAGGAGCTGGAAACGGGGGACATGCAACACGGGTGCCGGCCCTGCAGATTGCCTTTCTGCACGCGACATGGGGGCTGGTTAGGTCAATGGAAGATGATAGAAATCCTCCCCCGGGAGTCAGAAGAAAAGCTCCAGTGCCCTGGGGGCTCTTCACTCCATAGAGTATTGTTGCTCGGGGAAGTCATTTGATTTGGGGATCCTGCCTCTCTTTATTTGACATATTGAAAAACGAAAAAAACTAAAATTCACCAAAAATACGATGATGATGCTCAGCTTGTATTTCTTGTCACTTTTCTGGTTGAAATCATGGTCTTCTGAGACAGAGCATCTCAGCCCAAGTCTCGGCTCTCTGAAACCCTTGCTGTGTGACCTGGGGGGTGGAGGGGGGGAAGGGAGTGAACTCCCTGCGCCTCGATTTCTCCCATCTGTAAAAGGATCGTCCTGGCGTCTCCTCACGGGATTGTTACAAGGACAGTGACCACCGTGCAAAACTCAGCTGGGGCCTGGCCCTCCTCGGTCAAGCTCAGGGAGGCTGCCCCGTGTGACTGTTACTGAAGGAACTGGCTTAGAGCCTTAAAAAAAACAATCCTTCAGTGGCCTACTAATGGGCTTTGGGTCTCCACTCCACACTCCCCACATCATTCACTATGGTAAGATTTTTTGTTCTGATGATGCCTTACACCTGATCCCTTCGACACCTCGTGGTTGCATAGGCTGGTGTGCTTCTTCCATGTGGGCTTTGTTGCTTCTGAGCTTAATGGCCACTTGATTACCTTCAAGCCTTTAAGACCCCAGACGCTATACTTTTTGATAGACGGGCACCATCAGCTTTCTTCACCACATTTGCTTATGCACCCATTTGTCTTCAGTGATCCCTTCGACATCTCGTGATCACACAGGCTGATATGTTCTTCCATGTGGGCTTTGTTGCTTCTGAGCTAGATGGCCGCTTGTTTACCTTCAAGCTTTTAAGACCCTGGAGATCCCCTTGCAGAGGGGTCTCGGGGAGGAGATGAGCCAGTCAGGGTGCGATGTAACAATGATGAGAAATACAACCTTCCTCTAATTCCTAAATGTTTCCTCCCCGCTCCCACTACCATGACTCGAATTCGACCTTGCAAGACTGGCTAGACCAGAGGAGGTACACTGGTACAGATAGGAACTGAAAAGACAGGGAATCCAGGACGGATGAGCCCTATAAGACCAGTGGTGTGAGTGGCAAAACAGGGAGGGTAAAGGGAGAATGGGTAGGAAAGAGGGAACCGTTTACATGGAACTGTGTGTGACCTCCTCCCTGGGAGACAGACAACCAAAAAGTGGATGTAGGGAGACGTCGGACAGGGCAAGATATGACAAAATACCCATTTATAAACTATCAAGGGCTCATGTGGGAGGGGGAAGCGGGGAGGGAGGGGAAAAATGAGGACCTAATGTCGGGGGTTTAAATGGAGAGAAAATGTTTTGAGAAACGATGTACAAATGCGCTTTACACAATTGATGTGTGTATGGATTGAGATAACAGTTGTATGAGCCCCTAATAAAATGTTAAAAAAAATAAAATAAAATGAAAAAACAAACAATCCTTCGATGGCTTCTGTCTCGGAGACTTTTAGACTATTTGATAACCTTCATCCCAGGACGACTGATAGGTGTGCAGACTAATGCCCAGGGTTCGTGCGACAGCGTGGATAAGGAACCCAGTATCTCCTTAGATTAAGTTCTTCTGTGCACCCTCCGGGGTGCCTGGAGCTGTGCTTGGGGGATCGGATGAAATACAGTAATGTGATAGAGTCTCGCTCTCTGGGAAGGGCCTTGCGGGGCACAGGAAAGAGATGGGGCCCATTTGCTGTGGGAGCACCACGCGGGGGCTGGGAGGATCCGAGAAGAATCTTCAAAGGAGAACCCCTGGGCCAAGTCTTGAGGTCCCAGGAACCAGCTCAGTAACCCAGTCATGAATAGAGGTGGTGGCCTTTGGAGACCGGGCATTAGCCTCTTGTGTCTGGGCATGGATTATGAAGGTTGAACAGGAGGCGGTGGGGCAGGCGGAAAGGGCATGGTGTGTCAGGGTGCCCTGGAATTTACCCAGGGGCCATGGAGGGAGAGACTTAGAGGGGCGCAATCGGAACGACTGGTGTACTTGCCGGGGCCTTTCCGAACGTCGCCCGTGTCCTCTTTCCTGTCTAGGCCACACCATGATGGACACCTTGGCTGTTGCCTTGCGAGTGGCTGAAGAGGCCATTGAAGAAGCTATACACAAAGCAGAAGCCCACGGCGACAGCCTGGTAGGGCCCCCCCTTCTCTCTACGGGAAGTGTGGCTCGGGGGCCGACGGGCAGGAGGCAGTGGGGGCTGTAGGGAAGTCACTGCCACCACAGCCACGCCTGGACAGAGGCCATGACCCCTCCCCACCCATGCATCAGTGGTCAGGAAAATGGGATTGATCCCGAGAGAGAGATCATCACCGAGTCTCCCAGGCCTGACCTCTGCTCAGCACGCCGTTTTCTGTCCCCTCCACAGGACAAGCAGAACGAGGCCAGTTACCTTCGGGACCACAAGGAGGAGCTGACGGAGGAGCTGGCCACAACTATCCTGCAGAAGGTAGGTGGCCCAGGGCCCAGAGGAGGAGCCGAAGAGGGGGCATCGGGAAGGTCTTCGGCATTGCTTCTTCTCTGCCTTCTCTTGGGGGCCTGTTGGGCTGGAGTGGGGTGCCCGTAGGGACTGAGCTAGCGGATGAGGAGCCAAGAGCTCAGCGCTCAGTTGGCCACTCACTTAAGCTTGTTCCCAAGGTCGTGTGTGTGTGTGTGTGTGTGTGTGTGTGTGTGTGTGTGTCTGCCTTCTTCCCACACTTCCTGGATGGTGTCTTACTGCAGAAGCTGGGCAGTCACTTGCTGCTCCCATACTCCAGACTGTCCCTTTAAACAGTGACCCAGGCAGCCAATTCTAACTCGACGGCTTCACACAAGGCCTGTTCTCTTCTTGGCGAGGCTGGTTTCTGGCAGAGGGCCCGGCTTTGAGCCAGGGTTGGGATCAAACGTGCAGCAATGGGTTCCACCTGGGGCCCCCCTGGAAGTACATCAGCCATCACGTCTGAGAACATGAGCGGGTCTCAACCTGGGGGTTGCAACCCCCTTGGGGGTCGAATGACCCTTTCACAGGAGTCGCCCGATTCATCACAGTAGCAAAATGACAGGGATGAAGTAGCAATGAAAATAATTTTATGGTTGGGGGGGTCACCACACATATTAAACTGTATTAAAGGGTCGTGGCATGAGGAAGGTTGAGAACCACTGTCTTAGAAGAAGCAAGAGGGAGCCAAGGATGTGTGCCTCTGACAACCTAGGCTAGTTCTAGTCAGTACCTGCTTCCTCCTCACATGTCATTGGCCAAAGCAAACCACGTGGTCAAACTCAAAGCCAAGGGGTGGGAGAGGATGGCCTCCCGTGCCAGGCAGGACCACAGAGTCACATGGCTGAGGGCTGAGTTGGATAAGTGGGGCCCCATAGTGCCACCTAGGAACCCTGGTGGCAGTGTGTTTCTGCACTGGGTCACTAACTACAAGGTTCACAATTCAAAGCCACCAGTACACTCCATGGAACAAAGACGGGGGCTTTCCACCCCTGTAAAGGGTTACAGTCTCAGAAACTCACAGAGAAGGGCTACTCTGCCCTATAGGGTCGGCATGAGTTGGCATGGGCTTGATGGTAGTGTGTTTGTTTTGTTTTGTGATAATTCCATCTACACTCGCCCCATCCGAAGCCGGTCTCACCCAATCATAGCCCACAGTGCTTTTGGTCCAGTGCAGCTCGCCCCCTGCTGGACCCCTGTGAACTGCACAAACACTCCCTGAAGGTGCCTGTACACCTAGTGTTGGAATAGGGACAGGAACCCAGCCACCTACAAAGGAGAACGGGAGGCCAAGGCGCTCCCTGCTCTGGTGGTAGGCACGTGCCTCCACCGGACCTCAGTTCTGTTCCTGGCCATGCACCTCGGGTTCTGGGCCTTCCGTCTCCCCCCTGGTCTGAGCCCTGGAGAACATGATTTTGCTGCTGGCCCTCTGCTGCTTTCTGCCTGGAGGAACGTGGGAGGAAAAGGGAGCCACTCCAGCCAAATGGCCATGCCCAGCGTTGCACGTGGTGCAAATTGGGTCACTCTCCCGTTGGTGCTCAGGTGTCCGGTGCGTCTTCAAGTCGGGACTGAGAGCCACAGACCTGGGGTTCGGGGTCCTTGTCCACTGTTCACAAGCCTTGTGACCTTAAGCCAAGCCCACTGCTGCTTAGTCATTTCCAGCACCTTAACCTCACTGCCCCGGTTCCTCTTCTGTAAACTGAGGAGAGCCGCAGCACGTTGCTCTTAGAGTCTTGCTCTTAGAGTCGCTATGAGGATTGAAGGAGGTGGCACGTAGGCATGGGGTGCGCAGGGGGAGCTTCAAAAACGTTCATGGAAAAGTGGGGTGGGGAGAGACTAGACTTGCTCTGTGACGCTTTTGGAGTCCCCTCCCTCGTACAGAGCCTGAGACAGCTGGCGTGTGGCAGACACGAAACAGAAAATGTTCACCGTGTCCCTCTCAGGAGGATTTGCAGACTGTAACGGGCTGCGGGCTGCAGGAGAGTCTCTGGCCTGTGTGAACAGTTGAGCTCCCATCCACTAGCCTCGAGGTTGGCAGTTAGAACCCACCCAGCGGCACCTCAGGAGATGGCCCTGGGCCTGGAAAACCCATGGGGCCAGTTCTGCTCTCCATGAGTGAGGGCACCGTTATCACAACCAGCAGTGATGATAAAAGGTGCTATCGAAACGGCCGAGGCTGGGGTGCCTGTGTTTGTGTCATACAGCAGGTCTGATAAAGGGACATCCTCCCCACACACAGAAGAGTCACAGGGAAGGGATGAGGCAATCGGGGCAGTAAAGCACAAGTGTAACACAATATTCTTCTGGTTCCTTGAGGCTTCCTCACCCCCTAGTATCGTGACCCCCGTCCTCCCATTCACTGTGGGTTAGACTGGAGCCTGTGCACAGGTACAGATAAGAGATAAGAGCTCATGACATATGGAATCCAGGAACAGGAATGGGAGTAATGGTACCAGGAGGGCAGGCAGAAGGTGGGGAGGAAGGGGGAACCGATATTAATGATCAACACATAATCACACACACACACACACACACACACACACACACACACACACACACCAGGGGGATCAACAACAGAAACTGTAGGAGAAGGGAGACAGGGTCGGTAAGATACGCAAATAATTTACCAAGGGGTCACAAAGATGGGGAGTTAGGGGAAGAGGAGCTGATACCAAGGGCTCAATAACAAGTAAATGTCTACAAAGAATGATGGCAACCTAGGTACAAATGTGCTTGATACAATGGATGTACGGATTGTTACAAGAGCTGTAAGAGCCCCAGTAAAATGATCTTTTAATAATAATAAGCAGGTCTGAAACAGGCTGGCAATCCATGGAGACGAAACTCAAGGGGGCTGGAGGAGAGATCTCAGGGTGGTCCCGGTGATCCCACACAGCCATAATGTGCCCCACTTGCCCCCCTCACCCTCCTCAGATCATAAAGAAGCAGAAGAGCAAGAGCGAGAAGCAAGCGGAAGGGGAGCCGGCGTGGCCTCAGCCCCAGAGCCACGGCCTGAAAGGACCTGACGCAGGGACCACAGCCTCCCCAGAAGACCACCAGGCTCCCACCGCCCTCTGGGTGAGTCCCAAGCTGAACCCGTCTCCCCAAAGAACCAGGGACACCACAGTTCCTTGTCTGAAGTGGACTCTCTGCCTCCTGGGGACTGGGCATGGGCAGCGGGGAGAGGCTGAGAGGGTGTGTGTGTGTGTGTGTGTGTGTGAGAGAGAGAGAGAGAGAGAGACCCGGGATGAATTGTGAGAGGGGAGAGAGAGCACTGGTGGTCTTCTGAAGATGGGGGCGGTGCTAAACATGCCCTCTTTCCTACAGTGTTTCATGTGGTGAACATGTATGTAACAGCACACCTGCATCTCAACCATCTTCGCCCTGTGGCTGGCGACATGATTCATCTTTGTCCTAAAGAGTGTCATAGAGTTTTGGGGGGCCACGTGTGTTTTCACTTGGAAGCAAAGTGGGACTCTGAAGGGGCCACCCACCACTGCTCAGAATGGTCCCCTGTGAGCCAGGCGGCGAGGTCTCAGGGCGCAGCCGCAGCATGCAGGGTTTCAGAGGCCTGCCTGGGGCCCCAGGGTCTTAGCGATGGAGCCGCGGAGTCTCTGAAGTCCTGTGTTGCCTGTTTGACGTCATCTCCGCAGAAGGCTGGGGATGACGCTGGGCACAGGCCCGGTCCCTGGGCAACTGGGCGGTTGTGGGCTGAGGTTCAACCAGAAAGTGAAGGACCGACTGGGCCTCAGGGTGCCAGCATCGCCTGAGGGAAGTGACAGGGCCGCCCGCGGGTGCAATTCACCGCTGAAGAGTTGGAAATGTGAACTGGGTGCCCCTGCTCCCTGCCTGTGTCCCTGCGTGATCAGAGTGCTCAGAGCAGTCATGTGGTGCCCAGCACCAGCAGGGATGGGAAGCAGGCCCACCTGCCTGCATAAGTGGTCCCTGTGCTCCCACCCCCCATGCCCCCACTCCCCCCACCCCCCGCCAGCTCAGAGACTTAACACACCCATGATGATGCAGCACAGACCTGCCCGCTGGCTTGACTGCCCACTGGTTTGACTGCCCACTGGTTTGACTGCCCGCTAGTTTGACTGTCACTGTCTCACGGCACTCGGCATGAAGGAGAACAAAATAAAGAGAAGATTCAGGGGGCCCTCTCTAACCTGGTTAGCCAGGCAAGAGGGGATGTGGTGAAGGGTGGAAACAAGGACATGAGACGCGACAGCCCCTCGCAGGGCGCTGAGTTGGGGGCTGAGCCTGGAAGTGGAATGAGAATTGACAGAAGCAGGAATCCCCATCCCCTAACCCTGCCAAGAGAGGGGAGGGCCTCCTCGTGGGCCCAGAAGCTACTGTAGCCCCCATGAATGTCCCTCCCAGAACCCGTCACCCAGCTGGTCACCACTCTGCCCTGGCCCTGCCGGTGCCACGCTATGGCTGAGCTCTTGATGCACCCCTTCCTGAGTGAGTCTTTCAGGTGTACTTTCTGCAAGCTGAAAAGTCAAATTTGGGGGGGCGGGTGACCATCCCCACGGCTCCCCAGGCTCAGCTGTGAACCAAGGTGGTCAGAGGGCAAGAGCAGAGGGCATGGGCCCTGCCTCTGTGCTCCTGGGTTGGGGTGCCGGGTCTGCCCGTGACGAGTTCTGTGACCCCATGTGACCCATGGGCCTGGAAGGTTGCCGTAGGAGATGACAGTCTGGCAGTGACAGTTTAACATGTGCCCAATCCCGTCCTTTCCCTGAATCCCTGAGACTCCTGAGAGCCAAGCTCACTGGGTCCACCTGGTTTTCCCGAGCCTCACACGCGAAGCCCCTTGGACAGGGTGCGGTTGCCACTCGCCCTCATCCTGTTTCGTGGGAAATAGTTGGGCTTTCCTTATCTGGCCGGCAAGTTCAGGTTTACACCCCACATTGCTTCCAGCTCTCATAGATCTTAACCATATACCGTATACACTCATGTATAAGCTGAGTTTTCCAGCACATGCAGTTTTTATGCGGTTTTCGTGGTAAAATTAGGTGCCTCGGCAGATATTCGGATCGGCTGATGCTCAAGTATTTACAGTAATCATGATGTGCCAGTTCCTTGCTACACCAAACCCAGATATAATCCATCGTCTGCGTTTTGCCTTATGAGAAAGAACACGTGGTGTCAGCTCTCTCCCTGTGGGTGTTGCAGTTGTGGTGGGGCTGCTGTTCTGTGCAGGGGGGTAAGCTCTATCTATACTGCTCTGTGCAGGGGGTAAGCTCTATCTATACTGCTCTGTGCAGGGGATAAGCTCTATACTGCTCTGTGCAGGGGGGTAAGCTCTATCTATACTGCTCTGTGCAGGGGGGTAAGCTC